TGCAGCATGGGGACATGGACTGTAAATGGGTCCGGCCAGGCCGTCGGGGCCTGGCAAGTCCTTGTTGCCGTGTCCGGTCGGCTCTGTGTGAGCGATGGATGTCACCTCCTGCCGGTCGAGTTGTAGTTGTCCCCGTGGCCGTTGTCTCCTTTCCCTCCCTCCAAGTCTCGTGTTGGTGGGCCCCAGTGAGACGACGATGTTGGTTCGGTGACCGTGGTGGCACAGGCTGGTGGACGGTTGATTGGGTGGTGCATTCCAGAGAGTCCGAGGGTGGTGGTGGTTGTTCGGGATGAGAGAAGTCCCTGGCGGCTCGTCCGGCTCCGACGCGGTGACGCCTGCAGGCGTCGCCGGACCTTCCTGAAGGGCGTCGGGTATACCCCTTCCCCACTGCCCTCCTCGTACCGGGGGAAACCCTAGGACTCGTTCGGGCAACAGCGGTGACGCCGTCGCATTCCTTCTTTAAGGTGTTGCTTGGTACGCGACGCTCCGGAATGCTAGGAACACAGTGGTACTTCTCCGGAGGGTGCAGCGGTTGCCGGTATTCGTCGCTTAGTTGATCTGCCGGTGTTGCCATTTGTTTCTCTTTTCTTTCTCTTGTTTTCTTCCTTTTGGGCTTGTTTGTGCTGCGCCCCAACAGGTTGGTTGTATCGGATGGATGCTTTATAATATAAAGCTGGGGGAAACCCTTTATCATCAAATAGTGAAGGCAAATCACACAGGTACAACGGATAATGTGGATAATCACCGTAGATAAAATAATGTTCTAGTTGCTTTTCGGTCGAGTGTAGTGAAGACAAGTCAGGGTATTGTAGCTCCCCTGACTTTACCTCGTACTCCCTCCGTAAACTAATATAAGAGTGTTTAGATTACCATGTTAGTCATCTAAACGCTCTTATATTAGTTTACAAAGGGAGTACGTCACAAATTATGGATCCACCAAGATATGGCTCGTTGTGACCAAGGTCTTGGATTTCAGCCAAGAAAAGTGAAGTGCGGCTGAAACTTAACAATCTTGTCTCGTGAGGGTTATGTTGGACTGTTAAACCTTTGATGTTGATTTTCAGTCCCCCAGTGCTAGGCTGCTAAACATTATATTTATTTGTCCTCCTGATGTACATGAGTTTGACATATGTTTTTGTTCAGCTTGATTTTAATTCATGACCAAATTTAAGCCATTGTTCATTCAAAGTTTGTTTTTCTGACATTTTGAAAGGGCTGAATTTTAGATATCTTGTTCATAGGCGATAAAAATACAAACCGAAAACCGAAATCTTGGTCGTGACGAGCCTCAGCAGCTTCTAGTTTTTCAATCACTTGTTTCCTTGTTTATTTTACAAAATAAAAACTCTATTCATCAAGGTTCGTAGAGAGGACAAACTACTGAAAGCAGTGTGGAGTCTTGCTCAGTTGCCTTCGACGACACATTCCTAGTTTTACTTCAGAGCTTCTTTTTTAGATCAAACGTGATTCAGAGTTTGTAGCATAGTTCAAGCAATGAGCTTCTTTGGCCTGTGAATGCGTCATCTTGTTGAGCTCTCTGCTCATCCTTAATACGCAGTACTTCTGTATCATTTGTAATTTTGGATGTGTCTGGTCACTAGTGAACCTAGTTATGTAAGGTCTTAGCGCCCAGTGCCCATGTTGAGCCCATGGAACCCTTTCTGTGCGCCATTGTCTCTTTCTATGAGGAAGTTAACCACTTAATCCAACCGTGTTGAGGTTCAGTCTTGCAGACTGGACTGCCAGCAGCAACACTCTGGGCTTCAGCCTACGATGCACATCTTGCTTTAGACCCTGTTGTGACGCAGATTGCTCCTCTGTTATCACTCTCTGGAATTATTATGTACAAAGAGTGTTGAGTATATTGATTATTAGTAAAAATGA